GCTCTCCAATTATTTGAAAGGCCGAGATTATTTCATTTTTTTTTAAAAATAGCCACGTAGGTATTAAAATTATATTAAAAAAACCCACCTAGGATGTTTTGCCGGAATTTGTCTCTGGAGGAACTTAAGTGATCATTTTTCCTTCGATGTAGCATTTAAGTAATATGTTGAAAAGTTTTGACAGTAAAGTGAGCGCCGTATGAAAGTCATTACACTTATAATATCCTTTTTTCATTTATAATTGTTCTGGGTACGATCGCATCAACGTACTAGTGAGAAATTAATTGCAAATAATTAAATGCAATGGATGAGAGTTGGATGAGGTCGTACTTATCGAAAGGTAGTAGTAACCCGTGATAAATCGTGATATCATTGTATTGTGAAAAATCTCTATATTGTTTGAGGTGTGATTCTATTTATTATAAGTTATTTTGGTTTGTGAAAAAGGTTATGTGAATTAATATCATCATATGATAGCTTGTTTTGATATAGAATTATCGATTTGCTACTGAACTTTTAATGAAAGTCGAGTCTTAGATCAATGTGGCCAGACAACGTGGTGAGGAAAAGTACAAAAAAATCCTAAACCTATTACATTTGTACATGTTCAATCCTAAACATTTCAATTGGACCAATTTAGTTCTCGACATTCTCACATTTATACCAATTTAGTTCATCCGGCCAATTTAGATCGGAAATGACTAACATGGACGCCGGCCATTCTATGTGGCACAGCCGACACTGACGTGGATAATTTTCTAATTTTTTTACATTTTTTTACTTTATTTGTTTTTTCTATTCTTTTCTTTCCTTTCCTTTCCTTTCTTTTTTTCCCCAACTGTGGGCCGAAGAGGTGGTTGGCCAAAAGCGAGGTCTAGACGAGGGCCTTAGCCCCCCGCGCGGCCCAAAGTGTAAAAAAAAAAAAGAAAACAAGAAAAGAAAATTCATAAAATAATTAAATAAAATTCAATAAAATTGTAAAATTTGTTCACGTAGGACGGCCCACGTCCACGTTAACAATTTCTGGCATAAATTGGCCAAATTGACTGAATTGGTATCAATACGAAAAGGTTTAGGACTAAACGTCCAATTGAAAGATTTATAACTGAATTAGTACCAATGTTATATGTCTATGACTTTTTTGATACTTTTTCCCAACTTGGTGTGAGCCGAGAGGGCCACTGGTGGGCAAGTACTGAATGGGTCCATTAGGGATCTCGTGATGGATAAAATTACTAGAGGACTAGGCGTCCATAAATATATTGTTGAAGTCCCTCTCAATTAGATTCGATTTGAAAAAGAAAATAAGAAAGGAAGATTCAATCCACTTACAGAGATCAGATCTCGTTTGTGGATCCCTCTATGGTTCAATCGGTCCTGTTGTCCGATTTTGTTCTTAGGTGTTCTATATCGATTTTGTTCTCGAATGAGCTTCGCAATGTAAATCTCTACAAGATTGATAATTTTCACTGTGACTTGACCGACATGATCAGTAGATATCCTTGGTTTTAGACATTTTCTTCCATTCATATAATAATTTGATGATTTATCGGATCGGTTTCCTTGTGATTAAGAAATCAACAATCGCTTCACTTGGACAAATTTATCAACAAAAGAATTCTTTCATTACCAATAATACTACATACCTAAACGTTTTCATTGGTAATGAAGATATTTCGTATTAACATATTATTTCTAGTGATATAAATGATCACATATCGGGAAAATTCTTTTTGAAATATTGATTTTTCGCAAAAACGAACAGAGCTCAAAGATAAAATAAATAAATCAATAAGTAAACTTCTTACTTTAAATTCGCAATGGCTGAAATATTATGAAATGGTTGTTTCTTGGTAAGAACAGCAGACTCTAAATCTCATGTTTATGGTGTATTTATTTCGTGTAAAATATACGACTTGAAAAATATCTTTTCCACGTGCACGTGTGAACCATACAAAGCTTTGAACAAGTGGCCACCCCAAAAACATTATCGTTCTTCTTCGCGACAAATAGTGTTGACTAGTGCCCGGTCCTCCAAAAGTTTTGTAATAATAGAGTCGCGACATGTACCAAGAAACAAGCAAGAAATCATGAAAAAGGAAAGTGGGTGAGATTGGAAATAGCTGGAGATGTGAAAGGCATCCAACCAAAGAGATAAGATAAGCTTTGTCTACTTGTTTTTGTGTTCCAACCACGATTGACATGACCCCATAAAATCTTTCATTTCACCACCACCACCACCACCACCACCCCCGAGTCAACAAAAAATTTGGTGCTCCATCAAAAATTTGCACATTCCCCCCTTTCATTTTTATCGTTTTGATTCGAAAGACGACTAGTCGTGTGAGGACCAATCCCATCACAGAGTTGAAAATCGCATCGAAATCGCGCCGCATGGATGTACAGATATCCAATGAAAATCGGAATGAATAGATGGAGCAATGCATTAACCGAGATTTTTTTTCCCTCATCTTTGCTTTGCTTCAGCCACGAAGAAAGGCAATTCCAAATTGCATCACATCACGTGTGAGGGAGACTTATTGATTTTGCTAAATTCGGTGCTTGGTTCTCTTTTGAAGGCTCCATGTAGAGCTTGTGTGCTAACTTGATTTCAGGAAAACGACATAAACAGTCAATAAACTTTTGCTCAATGTGTAACGTGATCTCTAAATTTTAAATTTATTCAATGTGGTCCCTGAACTTTAACCCAATATGCAATGCAGTCCTTGAACTTTTAATTTGTTCAATATCATCCCAGAACTTTTGGTACATGTTCAGTTTAGTCAGTGAACTATATAAAAATGTTCAATGTAATCCTTCCATTAATTCAAGCTCAGAAACTACATTGAACAATTTATGGACTATATTGAATATGTACCAAAAGTTCAATAACTACATTGAAAAAATTAAAGTTCATGGAACACATTGAATATTAGGATAAAGTTTAGGGATCACATTAAATAAATTAAAAATTTAGGGATTATATGACATATCAGGTCAAAATCTCAAGACTATTTATGTCATCATCCTGTGACTGTACGAACCAAGACATGATAAGAAAAGGAAAAGGGAACCAGAAAAGAGAAAGTTTAGAACAGTGACATTTGACATGACTTACGTTGGACCAATTCAAACCCCTCATGAACTTCAGGTGGGATTGTCTCCTGGGAAGTTGGTTAGTCTTATCACTAAGTCCATGTATCGCCCAAACATGTCACCTTTCTGTCCACCTCAGTCTCATGTTCAACAAAAAATATATAGATATAAATTACTTGATTTTTATGAAATCATTCGCAGAAGAGTGCAATTCCAAAACTAGCCTTATTGATTTCCGTACTCCTCCCATGACAAGTCAATCGTACGGTAAAATTCAATATGAATGGTCTCGTACTTGTATCAACGCCTCATGTTCTATCGATCGGATTGCACCTCCTTCTCGCCCTGGAGTCTTATTTTCGGGACGTGATCTCGAGCGTCGAGGCTAACTCGTTTCGTCCAGTTTTGGGTGAGGGTGGAATTTTGGAAAGGAAAAGGAGAGAGGGGCCAAAATGAAAAGGAAAAACAAGAAGTTGGAAATACATTTGATTTTACTATTGAGCTAGCTTCGATGTCGCCCATCTCAAATCCACACTTCTACTCCTTAGCCTATCTTGAATCATATGTGCAATGCCCATCTCTGACTTATGGGCTATTCATGGCCCATGGGCCTGCATGAAATGAGCCTTTGTCATATGGGCTTTCATTGTGATAAGCCTAGTTAACTATGCCTCGGGTCTGCAAATAATTGGCTCATGTACTTTGTCCATAAATTCTATCACTCTATTTTCTTCTTGTGGTTATCTGTGCTTTTTGGTCCGTATTTATTCGCTAATCATCAAACATACACATAATCAAGAAATCAAATTTAATCACACCTTTCTTCTTCTTCTCCCATGTAGCCGCACAACTTTTGGGTATCTTTAAATTTCATTTCATTAACAATCCATTTTACCTTATAAGTATTAAATATATACCCCCCTCTCTCTTTCAGCTCAATTTCACCCGGCAAGGATTATATATCATTCCTCTATCTTTCTTCAACAAAAAGAAAAGGGATAGTAATTTAGAGACTAATGGAACTAAGGAAATATTTCACAAGCTCAGGATTTTTGTATCCAATGCGGACTTATCGAAAACAAAAGAGACGAAAACAAGTTTTCCTTTTCTTTTAGGGGTGATCGGTTCTCGGTCTGTTTCAATCCCACTCAGAAACCATAAAACTAGACCATGAGGACCGGTTTCTAGTTTTTGGGACTTGGGACGGGGAACCGAACTGGATCGGTCGGTCCAATGGAACCGATCACTTGGCAATGAGCATTAGCTCGTAGAGTTGATTACAGTCTTTAATCTACGCAAATCTCCATCTGCAAACCCTGTCATTGCTCCCGGACAGTAAAGAAGGCAATGCGAAGATTAGGAGAGATGCAGAAGGAAGGAACCAAAATGATGCAAACCATAAACCAAAACATTGATCTATATCTCGGCGAAAAATATGAACAATTCATATCTCAGAAACGTGCGATCAAAATCTAAGAAAAAGCAAAGATAACAGAAAGTCGAGCAAGAAAAGTTTACTGATCATAGGAAAGGGCCATCCAAGATTGAGAATCAAGCGAGACCCGAGTCACGGAAAGAGTGAAGAGCAAAAGAGCGAGGTGTGAGAGTCGAGAGAGAAGGAAAATGCGAGATTAGATTAGGGTTTTCTAAAAAATTAAAAAACAAATATATTCCAAAAATAGGAATCGGGAACCGGACCGGCACCCACTGGAACCGCCCAAAACCGGCCGGTTCGGTCCGATTCAGGCGGTTCCCAGTTTGGTCGATTTGTCTTGCTCGTCCTTACTTTACTCCATTTTCTTTAAACCGACTCCGATTGCATAGACCTTGGGCTTGTCCAAAACGACGTGTCGTTGCGGGGAAGCAATCCCGTAGCGACGACAACTAGGAATGCTTCGGTGAAACCGGGTTTCGTCGCCACGCCAAGTTGCCAACTACCGTTCATTCGTGCCCGTCCAAGTCCAACGAACTCAGTCCTCCTCCTCCCTCGCTCGCCTCTGCACTCCGACCTTCGATTCCGGCGCGCAGTTCTCGAGCTCCCGCGCACCTGTCGATCCGAGCCGTCCGGTGAAATCGCCTCGCCGGCGCCGCCGCCATGGGCTGCTCCTCTTCGCTTCCGGGTAAATCCCTCCATCCGCCGTTCGCGTTCTCCGCGACTTTTTTTCGTCGCCGGCGAGCTGAATTTGAGCTCGAGCTGATCTCCGGTCGCCGCGCATCCCTCCGGTTGTGCCGCATACCGTTGGTTGTCTCCGGGAGGTTGTCCCATGCTTTCGGAGTCGCGTCTGTCCTGCTTTGTATTTTGGAAGTAGTCGAGTGTGTAGATCGTGGCTAGGGTTTGGCGAATTTCGATGGGCGAAATTGTTTGCCCGATGGCTGCGAGATTGTGAAGTTGCCAGGGACTTTGAGTATCATTCGCGATTTGATGAATGCCTCTGGTTAGTGAATCGGCTCTGTGATTGATTGGCTCGACATTCGGGTTATTGCAGATAGGGCTTCTGGAAGATTGAGCGGGCTCAATGCAGAGAACGGTTCAGTGAATGATGCAAAGAACCTGCGTGTTAAGGTACGCTTGCTACATGCGATCGTTTCTTTCTTTTTGTTCGGTCATTATGCTTGTATGAAATCTTATATCTAGGTGGCACTTGCCGTGATCAAGATGGCGACATTGATTGCTTAGAAATCTTCTGCTTAGTAGGATGATGGTGTCTTGATATGCAACATACTCATAGTCATTGCTGCTTCATATAGCTTTGGCATCTGAACATCTTGTCTAGTGTTCATTTTATTTGCATCGTATTTTCGCATTTTCTATCGATTCCTCGTGATCATGCCAATACCCTACTTGTTTGGGTTATCTATTAGCAATGCAGTATGTCGATATCATCAAGCATTTAACATTTCTCGTCCAGATGCCACAATAGTTCATTAAAGAAGTGCATAGCAACATCAAAGCTATGTCAGGTTGGTAGTAAGTTTCAGTGTCGACAAGCCATCTTGAGTAATTAAGTTTATAAAGTCTGTCACAGGAGCAGTTGTGATCTTAAACTATCGTGACTATGTATGTGGGAAATCCACATTACCTTTAAGATGTAAATTCTATATGTTAGCTGGCACAGAGCAATTTCTGTTCCTGCATCACATACACAAATACAGAGGTGCCGTTCTGCTACATAGTCGTCTAATGTCATTTAGTTCTTGGAGTAGAATTAGGGAAAGAGGTCTTATATGTTACTTTACTGAAATACCGACTGCATTTGGTCTTACTAAGCTGTTCCGATCTACCAAAATCTTTTTTTTTTTTTTTTCTGGATTGGTCATCTACAAGATCGTGGTCAGTGGTCACAACCACAACAACAAACTAAGCCTTGTCCCGCTATGTGGGATTGGCTACCCAAATCTTTTACCCTTTTCACTTTATTTTGTTAGTCTTCTCTCTGGACCAGGTCTCCATATCCTTTTTCGCCTGTACAAGTTTCTTTCAAAATACCTTTGTCCAATATAACACTTCTATCGATAACTTCGGACTCTACTAAAGATAAGAGAAGATCTCCATATGTCTGAGTGCTGCATTTTTTACATTACTTGAACAAAATATCTGCTGGAATGAGACCAATTCTCCCAGTGTCAAATTCATCTTGAGGGGAAATAGTAGAAAAAGAAGGCATAGAGATGGTATGAGTGCGAGTTGCACTATGTGTTTCTCTTAATTCGGAAGCTCACAATAGCAATTATGTTCAATGCTAAGAAATATAGCCTTCAACCAATCCTGATGTTATTAACCTTCTTATCATATCTGCAGCTTGTACTTCTAGGGGATTCTGGTGTTGGGAAAAGTTGCATCGTACTTCGCTTTGTCCGTGGTCAGTTTGATCCAACATCCAAGGCAAGGGATCTCATACTTTTCCTAATATGTTGGTTCAGGCTTCGGGCAGTTCCATTCTTAATTTTTTTTGGAGCTCCTAATTGTGCTCTATGGATATTAGTATACTTAACCATTTACCTTGATTTATGAAATTTTGATTTGTAGTAGTCAGGTTTTCTGGGTCTTATTTGCAGGTAACTATTGGAGCATCATTCTTGTCACAGACCATAGCTTTGCAAGATTCTACAACAGTTAAGTTTGAAATATGGGACACTGCTGGTCAAGAGAGGTATTAAATTGTGCTATATATGTTTTCTTTAATATTTTCATATTTTAAAAAGTGGGGTGACGGAAACTTCCTTCAACCCTTTATCTATCACAAACACAGAGAAGGATTTACTGGTTTTCTTTATACAGGTATGCTGCCCTGGCCCCACTTTACTATCGGGGTGCTGCGGTTGCAGTAGTGGTTTATGATATAACAAGCCCAGAATCGTTTCAAAAAGCTCAGTACTGGGTAAAGGTAGGCGCTCGGGGATTGCAGCAGTTATATTTTAATGCATACTTTTCTGTATACCTCTTTCTTTATAGTGAATTTTGGTGGAAGTTGTTGGAGATTGATCCACAAAAACCTTGCAGGCATGACTAAACACTGACTGGGTTTTAAAGTGAATAGCTAGTACCACCTTTATTTTTTTTGACAGAATGATGTATGGTATGAAAAGAAAGCAGGATTTCATATTCTCTGTGGTGGAAGCCAAGGCTTGGGTTTTCTGTCTTTGTAGATATATTATGTCAAGACTGTCTAAGTTCCATATGACCATTCTTCGTGGAATATCGATGTGGTCTTTGTGATGATGGTACAATTTAGGTTGCTCTAGCGAGTTGCTGCACCAATTTGAGTGCATCTAGAGTTGATAATTGAGAACAAATTCTACCAGCTATTGGAAGTTAACCATGAATTAGATCCAGCTAACTTTGGAAACTATTTGATGTAACAGAGTAGATATAGCAGCAGATTACCATGATTCATTTTTTAATATAACTAAAAAATTTAACAAAAGAGTTGGCAGACTGCTGTCTTTCTGAAGAGTTAACTTTTACTGGAATGGCTGCAGCACTTCCATTTCTCTATAGCTTTGGTTTATAGGCAATATGTATTGCACTGAAGCATGGCTTCCAAGAGAAAATCATGGAAACTAATTTTGAAAAAAAGAAAGAGAAAGAAAAGCATGGAAATTAAGGATGTACTCTGGGACGTCAAAAGACATTGGGATAGAATGCCCAGGCCAATATACCAAGAAGTTTTTTTAAATATAACAAGATGTTAGGTAGCTTGGTATTTTCACATTTAGAGTATGGTTAAATCAAGTGGAAAGCTGGGTGCTACTGATGCTGCTTGTTCCACCATGGTCTTTGTTGATGTGACAAACACACACACACACACACACTATCTCTGAGCCCGAAATACTAGTGTACCATTATAGTAATATCACTTCGTGCTCTTAATATCTAATGAACTGATATTTTCTCTCTTTACTTTCAATATGGAGTTTTATCTTCCTCTCTTAATATCTCACGGTATTCACTGTGTGCCCGAAATACTATTGTACTGTTACAGTAACCATCACTTCGTACTCTTAATATCTCAATGACCTGATATTTCCTCTCCTTCCTTTCAGTATGGAGTTTTATTTTGATCTATATGATGAAGATTGTGTTCATGTACAATGTATAGTTTTGTTTAATAGGAGCTTCAAAAACATGGAAGCCCTGATATGGTTATGGCTCTGGTCGGAAATAAAGCCGACCTTCAGGAGACTCGAGAAGTGACAGTCCAAGTGAGTGTGACACTGTGCAATTGGTTATATTCGGTGATATATGTCTATAAGGATTCTTCTTCCACAAATGTAACAGCTAACACGGGATATTGTTGTCGTTGTTCCTGTAGGATGGCATTGACTATGCCGAGAAGAATGGCATGTTTTTCATTGAGACATCTGCTAAAACTGCAGATAATATAAATCAGCTGTTTGAGGTATATATGTCTGACATATAAGAATTATGGCATGGATTTAATTGAAAATATACCTTGTGTTCATAAAAATTTCTATGGACTCTCACAAACATCTAGCAGTTAGAAGTAAAGAACATGGTTTTGTTCTGTATTCATCTTTGATTTGATTTGATTTGCCCCCATTAGCATTGGTCTCGTTCCATTATATGGTAGTAGTTGTTGCTGTTATTTAAGTTAAAGTTCTGATAGATTTGTTCCTTTGCTTCGCTCGGCTCCAATCTTGATCGAGTTTCGTTACAGAACATTCAGAAGGAATGTTGAAGTAATGATTGATGTAGTTCATTAAATTCTTTGAATATTATTAAAACTAATCAATCTCTATTTGGTTGGTGCTGGCAATATTGTTTTAGCAAAAACCTAGTGGAGTACTGCCGTCCCTTTTCTTTCATCCGTCGTGCAATTATAATAATTGTCACGAGATGTTCCTCTGGAGCGCAAATCAGCTTTTGTTTTAGTATTATAGCAGTTCCTATGTACTATTTGTTGAAATTGTTCTTTTCCTCTCAGGAAATTGCCAAGCGGCTTCCACGTCCGACCCCGTCATGATCGGGAAGCTCATACTGCATTTAAAGCCGCATATGATGTTATGGGAGTCTTCCGTGGCTGTGATGTAAAATATCTATCTCAATGTATATCTCCTGTCCTGGAATTCTTTTGTGGACAGTTACTTTAATTTTTCCATGAAATCATTCCACATAAGTTGTAAGATGATCAATCTCCAATTGTACCAGAGAGAGCTTGTGAATGTGACATGGAAAGGAAACCCAGTGGATATGGACCGACGTGGCCGAAGATTTCGCTTGGCAAACTCGAACTTGATAATGATCTTTACTAGCCTGATAATAATTACTTGAACTTGTTTCATTTTGCCCTTTGCCATTCCGGAACAATGGGAGTTTCGTGAATCATCAGTCGCTCTTCCGAATTATTGATGCGGGTAGGAACAGGGAGATGCTTTTGATATGTAACAACTGCACCTTTTCGTCTTGAGCTCTCTGCATATCTAAAAGAAGAAACGAAAGATCCTTATGCTTGTGTTTCCAGCAATTAGCGAAAACGAGACTTTTTCCCACTTCGTACACATCATGAGGGGAACCGTATTCTTTCCGTTTTCCTAAAGCTCCTTTCCTTTTTAACAATGGTCGCTGTCCGTTCTATTCGAAAGTGATCCGTCGAAGTTCCGAAAACGAACTCTTTCCTCACCCGGAAGTTACCCAGAAGAGGCAGCGTCACCGCGTGGCTGGAAACGTATTCTTTCCGTTTTCCTAAAGCTCCTTTCTTTTTAACGATGGTCGCTGTCCGTTCGATTCAAAAGTGATCTGTCGAAGTTCCGAAAACGAACTCTTTCCTCACCCAGAAGTTACCCAGAAGAGGCAGCGTCACCACGTGGCTGCAAATGGCAAAAGCTATCGAACCCTTTATTCCAACCCCGTCACGCTTTGGTATCGAAGTGCGATCGTGGACTAAATTATGCCATGCTTATGCCACACCCACCTTCTCATCTCAATAATGGGAGATTGGAATGGCCATGAGCCATGGTCACAACATTAAACTAATAATGCCTCCGCGTCTAAGTCCCTTTCCCCGTTGTCCATTCGAAGCAAAATTTCGTATCCACCTAATCTTTAAGGCTAAATCTCATGTACTTCCATAAACTTGTGTTCAATGGCCAGCTGTAGCTACTACAGCAGCCAATCTGCCACCACCACATCTTCCTCTCCTCTCGATCATTGCACCGGTGTGACTTTCTCCTCCTTTTATTCTTTCCATCCGCTCGTATGAGGAGGCCCCCCATTCATTTGTTTATTTTCATTAGTAAATCGCGTTGGTTTTCCATGTCTTTCGTTTAACAAGAAGAAATACTAAGGTAAATCGATGTATGCGTGACTCGTGAATCCTTCTTAAATTTAACATGTCTTATGAATAGATTCTCGTGATGAAATAAATATCGCGGCCAAAATGTGCGCTTCCAGTGGTTATCGTGGTCGCACCTTAGTTTTCATCAACCTTTAGTTGATTAATGTCGATGAGAAATGATTTTCCATTATCCGTTTCGCATTTTCTCCGCCCGAAATTGCCCATGATTATCGTTTATGGAATGGTCCTATTTCACCGACTCCAACAGAATTTTTTCCTTTTTTCTTTTTTAATAATGAAAATGAATCGAGAGGGGGAATAACATGATGGGTCCCGGTCCCACGTAGCAGCGATCTCTTTTGGCTGCCGTCCACGTTACGGCACCTGATTGGACCAAGTCCGACATCACCGGCCACGACGACATTGTCTCCCTGTCTGTCTACGTGTGCGCCGGCCGCCTCACACCTCGCCACGCGCTTCCATTCTCCTCCTTCGGAAAGGTCGTCGCCCTCCCCCCCGGGCAAAACATTTTGGATTATTCTTGTATTTTTTTCACAATTTTTTCTTCTTCTTTTATTTTCTGAAAGACATCTAGGAAAGGATAAGTTGACTTCTATTTCGAGGATAACTGTCGCTGGGCAAAGTTTTTCGACAAGCAAATTCTTGTATCCAGGCTAGTCATGACAATTCAATCTCGTACTTATCTTGCTATCAAATTACAAACAATATCCAATTTAAGCTCTTTTTTGAGAAAACGATATTATTTCAGACTCTCATTTGAAATTTTCTCCTAAAATTGGAGTGGTTGTGCAGAATTTAAAAAAGGGATATGTACACTAGAAGTCTTAAAACTTGTTATAAAAGTGTAATTGAGTCTTAAAACGGTGTAATCAAGTCGTAAAACATGTTAAATTGGTTCAATCGAGTCATAAAGTTAACACCACCCAATTTACTAACGAAAAATGCTGACGTGTCTTATTTTATTAATTTTCTTGAGCGAGGGTCGCGATCTCCGCCAGATCAAGGTTGGCATGCCCTCGCCGGGGACCAGCGAGGCCTCACCCGGGGCCGGCAAGGGTTGCCAGGCTTTGGGTAGGCCCAGGGGACCTCCGTCGGCCCTTCTAGGCGGCTGTGGCGGTGGCCGCTAGTTGTGGGTCTTCAATTTTTATTTTTTATAGCTTTTTCTAATTTAATTTGTATTTTTCAATTTTTTTTCTGACGTGGCGCCTATTGGACGCCATGTGTATCGAGAAAATTAATAAAACAATACACGTCAACGCCACGTTAGCATTTCCGTTAGTAAATTAAACGGTGTTAACTTTATGACTCGATCGAACCAATTCGATAAGTTTTAAGACTCAATTACATATTTTGTAAGTTTTAGGACTCAATTATACTATTATGATAAATTTTAGGACCTATAGTGAACATATCCTTTAAAAAAAAAAAAAAAAAAGGGAAAGGAGAAGGGAGTGGGAAAATAGAAGAAAAATAGGAAGTAAAATTTTTTGGGGCGCAAATACGTAAATTCACTCCGGAGAGCTTCCGTCACAGATGACATCATTCGGTTTGTGTGTGTGTGTGGGTGTCTCTCTCTCTCTCTCTTCGAGTCACGATCCTACACACAGTCAAAGCAGCCGGAAGAACAAACAGGAAGGAAGGAAGGAGGGGGGACTCGGTAATCCATATAATCGAGCATGACGCTTGCGACTCTCCTCCGTATCAAATTCAAACTCCAAATTCAAATTCAAACCCCATCCCAGAGAACCCTACCTCGGATTCCCAGCCCATTCGCCTGATTCTCTCTCGTTGACCTCGAATTCGTCGCTCTGAAGCTCGTTCCGGCAACTGATCCGCCGCTTGCCCTTCTTCTTCTTTTGCCGCCGCCGCCGATGGAGACGGGGGATCGGCGAAGCGACGACCCGTCGCCGAGCCGGCTCGTGGAGTCGATCAGGGAGATCGCGAGCCTGCCGGAGTGCCGGAACTGCTGCCGGAAGATGTACGCCAACCTGGTGCGCCGGATAAAGCTGCTGAGCCCCCTCTTCGAGGAGCTGAGGGACGGCGGCGGCGGCGGCGGGGGAGAGGCTGGCGGGGAGGAGGAGGAGGAGGAAGATCGGAGAGGGTTCGAGATGCTGGGAGCTGCTCTGGATTCTGCCGTCGCGGCGCTGAGATCGGTTAATCAAGGGAGTAAGCTGTACCAGGTAAAGGCGCGCTTGTTCCCGAGTGGTGCGTGGTTTGAGGGATTGTTCCGAAATGGATGAATTGGCTTCGTCGTGATGGTTTTGGCCCGTGAATTTTGAGTTTTTCGATTGATTTGGACGCGTGGGATTTGAATTTTGGCTTTATCGAGGCTTCGCGAGCGGCTGTGCAAGGCTTATTAGTTGAATTTCGGTCATTTAGGCCTGGTTTTGTGATTGCTTGATTTGAGTTCGTGTGCTTCGAGGGTGTGTGGCGATGGAGATGCTTATTTTTTGTGGATGAGAATGCGAAAAAATTTCGAATTTGGGTACCCTGCGGAACTTTTGAACCTTGATTCCTTTACCTCTGAGGCTAAGGAAGAGAGTAGGCGCGCAAGTTCGTGATGATTAGTTGCTTGCCGCTCATTTTAGATATTATTCTCAGATTGAACATAGGGGCATCATTTTCTGCCAGCTGCAATGTTCATGCTATGAGAAAACTAAGGATGTCATATCATATTATTTTTTGCTTCTTTTGCTCCATTGATTCGTATGTAACTCGAGTATTTTACTATCATAAGCAACCGTAGATGTTTTTTTTGGTTACCGAAATGAAATCTTCAGTTGATGTAGGTTGTTCTTTCTCGCTAAGCATTTCTTTTTCTTTTTTATATATCATGCTCCAGGCTTTTCAAATTGACAAGAATGCTGCGAAATTCCATCAGTTGACGGGACAAATTGAAGCTGCTTTGAGTATGATCCCTTACGAGAGACTAGATATATCAGAGGAAGTTCGAGAGCAGGTGAGATTTCCTGCTGTAACATATGAAGTGAAGCGTATCTTATTTTGCTTCGTCTGATTTATTTTCTTTCATGAATTGGATGTGTGATCGAGTCGTACAGCACACTGATTTTTAATGCTTGGATGAAAATGGAGGAAATGGTGTAGCATTCCCCCTACTGATGTGATGCAAAATGGAAAACTGGGAATGATTGTGCATAAAGTCATTCTTCACGTATGTGGATTTATAGAATTTTAAAACAAAATTCCTTTGACATTGTGCAGATTGAACTAGTGCATGCCCAATTTAAAAGGGCAAATGGAATAATGGACTCGCCTGATTTACAGCTGGTGATGGACTTAGATATAGCTCAAAAGGAAAAGGAGCCGGACCTAGCAGTACTGAAACGGCTCTCAGAAAAGCTTCAACTGAAGACTTTAAATGATCTAAAGAAAGAATCACTTGCTATCCATGAACTGGTTATTTCAAGTGGTGGTGAGCCAGCAAACTACTTCGAGAAGATGGCATCGCTGCTTAAAAAGTTGAGGACCTCTGTTATCAGGGAAAATCCTGAAGTGGATACCTTTGAGAGTGAGAAGGGCTCGATGAAGCACAGATCCCCTGTTATTCCGGATGATTTCCGGTGTCCAATATCTCTTGAGTTGATGAAAGATCCGGTTATAGTATCCACCGGACAGGTAAATCATGGTTGCCCTTTGCATTTCGATAATTTCATCCCATTCTAGTTATCATCACTTTGTAGTCATCACATAGATTCTCATATTTTTCAGACATATGAAAGATTGTGCATCCAGAGGTGGCTTGATGCAGGGCATAAGACCTGTCCCAAAACCCAGCAGACACTACTGCACACAGCCCTAACGCCTAATTATGTTTTGAAGAGTTTGATTGCTTTATGGTGCGAGAGCAATGGTGTGGAGCTTCCAGAAAAGCAGGGAAAAGGCAGAAGCAAAAGATCTGGTCGTGTTGCTTCTGAATGCGATCGGGCCGCTATCGATGCCTTGTTGGAGAAACTAGCCAATGGAAATCCGGAGCAGCAAAGAGGGGCTGCGGGGGAGCTCCGATTGCTTGCAAAGAGGAATGCAGATAATAGAGTGTGCATCGCGGAGGCGGGAGCAATTCCACTCCTTGTTGATCTATTATCCTCACCAGATTCCCGAACCCAGGAGCACGCGGTTACTGCCCTGCTCAATCTTTCTATAAACGAAAGTAACAAGGGGACAATAGTAAATGCAGGGGCTATATCTGACATCGTGGATGTGCTGAAAAACGGAAGCATGGAGGCAAGAGAAAATGCTGCAGCCACCCTTTTCAGCTTGTCGGTAATTGATGAGAACAAGGTGGCCATTGGAGCAGCCGGGGCTATCCCTGCCCTTATAAGATTGCTGTGCGAAGGCACTCCCAGAGGAAAGAAGGATGCCGCAACTGCAATCTTTAATCTTTCAATCTATCAGGGGAACAAGGCGAGGGCCATAAAGGCCGGTATCGTGGGTCCGCTCATGAGACTGCTGAAGGATGCCGGGGGAGGGATGGTGGATGAAGCATTGGCGATCCTAGCGATCCTCGCAAGTCATCTAGAAGGAAGGACGGCAATCAGTCAAGCCGAGCCCATCCCTGTGTTGGTGGAGGTTATAAGGACCGGTTCGCCCCGGAATCGAGAGAATGCGGCGGCAGTGCTATGGTCTCTGTGCTCAGGTGATGTAGAGCAGCTAAAATTTGCCAAAGATCTCGGAGCAGAGGAGGTACTGAAGGAATTAATGGAGAGCGGCACCGACCGTGCCAAGAGAAAAGCCGGGACTCTCCTGGAGCTTATCCAACGAGCCGAGCCGGCTCCTGAATTGTGACGTACGTGTCTGGTGAGAGTGATTTTGGAGTTGTTTTAAAGAAACGTTAGGTACAGGGAAGAACGTCGGCGAAGGAAGATTCTTTACATGTATTTATTCTGTTTCATGATGTACATAATTGATACCTGCACGGCAGTGTGAATGACAGGTTCGGTCCTCGATTTTTCTTCCCTCACTATGAAATTTTCCGGCCCTCTTAGATAGTCAAAGATGTTACTTATCTTTTTTACCTCCGCAGCTGCCGCTTGCGAGAGAAGGTAAAAAAGTCTATTTTCGTCGGGACAAAAATTTTATGCGCGCGCTGATTTTCACATATGCTTGGACAGAACACGTTCAGTGTGACTGAGGTGGTTATTACACCAGGGAGAAGGGATCGGAAGATGCGCCAGAGTGGGACCTTCAAATGGGTGGATTGTATTGAGTTGAGTTGAAAATGATCAGACATAAGTTAATACATTTATATGTAATACAAATATAGTGATTCATATTCGATTCGATCCACACTATTCCCATATCCGACCCCATCTATTCAGTAAAATATTTTCATATTTAGTTCAACCTATGAAAATTCGTATCAATTTAGTTAACCCACTTTAAGCTCTTCATATATATATATTTTAGATAAAATCGATATTTCGACTATAAGATGCTAAAGAATTGACTTTCAACATTGCATGGAATATTTAATTTTTGAATTGATTCACGTTGAATAATAAGAGAAAGTTAGTATTTGATGGTGAGTTTATAAAATTACAGCAACAGATAACACGGAAGAATTGAAGTTTTGATTAAATGGAATGTAAGATATTGAAGAAGATGATATATGCTGATTATGGATTGCAATGACAAAAACTAAGATTAAAATATTACATAAAAATAACAATGTCAAATGCAAGCAAAGAAGATATACTCCAATAACTAACAAACAAAACTTACAAGATTAATAAAAATAAAAAATGATTGGAAAAAAAGAAGTCACCTTGATATTTTAAATAAGGGTGACATCAGGCCCATCTTGCTAGCCCACCAAAACTTCTCCAAACTTAAAAAATTCAGAAGAGTCTATTATATTCTCATAGAGAGTGAATAGTATAGCAAAGGTGAATTAGTTGGGACAAACTACAAACCCATTTACCATTTTCAGATTTTGCCATTCTAAATCCATTTATAACCCATTTATTAAACATAACTAACACATATGATAGCTCAATCCATAATGGATTAAGTAATGGATTTATTAAAAAATAGATTTATGACCCATTTTGACGGATCTAAAGGGTAAGGAAACAAAGTAGTGTTTTGCTCTTCAGTGTTACGCAAAAACAAAAGATGAGAGACAATGAAACTATATCGATTCAACTGGTCACGAGAAAACTTCATTTTCTTTTAGTACACCTTTTTAATGAATGCATGGAAGGAAAATAAACTCTGATTCCTCCCGTCCAGTTTTATAGCCAAAAGTAGAGAGTGCATCGGCTGGAACGTAAGGCATTTAACCGTAAGGATGAATGGCGGCGAGGCCGGGTAAGTGGGAAGTCGAAAAGACAGGATGAAGCCCGTGTGATGCCTTTATGCTTGTACCACACCTCAACTGAAAGATACCAGTCCGCCAGTCGAGAGGTGCATTCCACATAATCAGTGATTCTTGATACTATTGCACGAAATGGTGCGACTGATTCATACACAAAGCTGTAATATAAAGCAAAGAATCATTGGCATATACTTGGTCTTACAATGGTGACTGAAGCACATTTCAAAGATCAGAGTAGCACCCTATAGTTTCTGCGCCTGAGTCCTCTCACCTCCCCACACTCATATTAGCGTGCGGAGTTCTCAGGTATGGCGATTTTAGCAATAATCCAGTCCCTCTGAAGAGAAGGTCAACATTTTTTCTTCCTCGCATAGTCAGATGAAAACTGAGGGGACAGAAGAAAGATAACTTACAACGTGATCTTGAAAACCGGTCGATCATGAAATCTCACATCACCTGCACAACACAAGATTGCAAAACTCTACCCAAGAGTGTGACTGGACATCAGCGGAGAAAAGAATTTTTGGTCAACCCATGCTCTGGACAAATGTTTCAGTCAGGGTCTGGCCGCTGACTACTTTTGTAGTGCCCACGATTATATCATATGCCATCCCCTCCTGCAGGCAAAATAGGGGAAATATTTATTGTAATGAAATCATCATGAAGACAATGCAAGACTTATAGCCAACTTAATACTTGCATCTTTAGTGTTCCGCCCACTAATAGAAAAGCCACAGAAAGAACAAAGTGACCTAAACTAATTAGAATTGACAAAACAGCTCTTTTTAGACTCTGCCTGAAGTTTTACAACTAGCAGCTTCAAGTACACCAATCTGACCCACTGAACAGCCAGCGACTACAGTTTTAAAAGAATTGCACAGGTTATCTGTACAATCTGCAAAGAAAATACTAACAAACAAAATTGAGAGCAAGCACCTGAGCACTGAGGAATCGTAGAGCAGAAATCTCTGCGAATGTTACCCCTCCCATGAAAACAACAAGTACCAAGGACCGCCTTCCCCCAGTCACTCTGGCAAATTACAAGAAGTTTCATTAGAACTATAGTTGTGCTAGGATATCATAAATTTGACAGTTATAGCATTTATTATGGAGCAATTCTAAAGAAAGTAACAATTGCATATGTTTACTCTTTATCATTAGACCAGTCATGAAACTGTCTCACAGTGGACAGAGGCAAAAGAGACATGGAAAAGAAAGAAACAACAAACTCTCCATACAGGATTCATGGTAAATGACCAGACTATTCTGAACTTTTCACTAAAGGAAAGAGAATGAGTTTTAATTTCACTCATCTCTTAATTGATAGGAGTAGACATAACTTTTCAGTTCTGCATATTATCTAGTCCCTTGATGATATAATAGCCTCCTTCTTTAAGTGAAACGTTCATCCTTAAGTTTATACATATAAAACAACTACGAGATCAATTTATTTTGCTAGCTAAAGTAGTAATCATACCGCAAACTTAGTCAGAATAGTAGTCCAACTAAGCTAACCGTTCAAAAAGAAATCAAACAGAAATGCAAAGTATCATTTCACCAAAATCCCAAACTACATGCTATATTGAAAATTATAAAATTTTAAATTAAAATATAACACCAAAGTTTATCTTGTGGCAACAAATTGGGAAGAGGAATATAAAGAAAATAAGCCAACTTAAGCAGAGCCATATAGTTTGAAAATAAAAGGAAATTACTTGTCAACTGAAGCATCTTGCAACGAATCATATGATTGACTGCTTGCAAACCTACTCTGCAGACATAGCAGAAAGAATATGAGACAAACTAACACGACCACACAAACCCTTAATAGTTGACCATAAAATAAATCTCAAATAGACCCATGAAATTGCACAAAGGTACAGGCCTAGCATCCATATGTTCCTGATGATGTAAATGCACATGGTCTCTTAGAATAAGAACTACGAAATGAGCCAAAGAAATCTTCCAACAACAGCTTGAGTATGAAGCATGAACATAATCACTGAGAGAAAAATGAAGTGAACAGATAGCAGTATGCAAGAAACTTGGCAGAGAAATGATAGACGTAAAATAGTACTTACTCTCTTCGATTCTGAATGGGGTCCTGGTAACATTCTCAAGATCTCTTCAATGGGACGCCTACAAATCATGATTATTGAAGTTCAAAGATTTCTCAGAAGGTATCAAAGCAAGCTGGCAGTTTTGCACACCATACATAAAAGAAATTGTTGAGTAAGAAGTGGTTGAAATGAGCTTCCGGAAAATATAAAAATATAAAATGCTTGGGAGATGATGGGCTGGGCCTTTGGTTTTGGGATGTTAAAGCGTACGAGTAATTGTTTACAACCAATTAAATGTAATCCCCGAGTAAAACACACATTATCAGCTAGTAAATAATGACTAACATGTAAACCGGGACAACGATATTCACTAATTCCTAAAACTAAAACCTTAAATTCGTGCACGATAATAAAAAGGCTGCTAGTAATAAGGTAATAACAATTAAATGACATGTTATGTGCATGTATATGTTCATTTATGTGTGAACTGGACAGCATTTAACAAGAGAGTAGTCAGATCGGATTATTTAAAATGACCATGTGAAACTTTTCAACTTCTGACAATAGAAATGCTATTTCTCACAGATCTACCAAAACATGAAACACAAAGAATTTCAATGGACTAGAAAAGCAAGAATGAAATCCTTACATTTTGTTTACTACTCATGTGAAATGTCGTTAGGATCCAAAGAAAAGTTATTCCTAGCTAACAACCCAAAAGGGCCGCCATGCATCAATTGACTTCAACTTGCAAGCAAAACCGAGAAGGGCTCATGTAGATTTCTTTCTGTTTTTTTGGGCCATCGAGTCTTATGTAGATTAAAGCAAGAAATTTATGGTATTTATGGCATGGATAGCAGAAGCTAAAAAAGTAATCCAGCTCACCAAAAACAAAATATATGTGAGATTCATCAGATAAAGACTCACCAACCAGATCGAATAGCATTCTGAACAAGCCGAATGCTAAGCGGCGCATATCCAGAAAATACATAGGCAATATCATTGGGACTGCAGAATAGAGTAACTTCAAAACTCAGTCACAAGTGCAATGAGACATCATGAAAAGAAAAAGGAGGATAGCTAAGAAGTACAAATCAACAGTAACAGCACAACATGTTCAATGTGAAAAACTAGAAGCAGAGAATAAGCTGAAGAATGATAGTACTTGGCTGTGTCAGTATCGTCAACTACGAGGTGAAGAGCACGTTTTATTGTCAGCCAATTGCTCTTTGACTCCTGCAGTATTCGAGAAGACAGACCAATCAATATTTTCTAATTGAATACCTTGTTAGAGGTAAAAGCACTTGGTGAAGGCATCATACCTGCTTTTTCAGCAGTCCAGCTTTCTCCAAATTGTTCAGTGTAGCCATGTGCTCAAAACCATAGCTATGAAGTAGCTCCCTCCTGAACAATTAATGATACTATCAAATTTAAACATGGGAATACTAAGGCTCTGTTTGGAAAGTTAGAAAAAGGGGAGGAAATGAAAATTGGAGTGGAAAATGAGAGAGATTTCGAAATTTCTTTGTGAGAGGGAGGGAGAGAGGGAAATTCAAATTTTTATTCTCAAATTTTCTTTCCCCA